TTCTCAGTTGGAATCCAATAAAAGCTTACACTTTTTAAAACTAGTGTACCAATGGTTATCAAAAAAACATACCGTAAGTTTGGTTTCGATGTCATTGGTTTCATGCTCTCCCTGATCTATTGCTCTCATGTTTTCTTTGTTGAAAGAATACAAATCTTTCACATATAACGGGGAAGGCGCTTCCTGTGGATTTTGATAAAGAGCAGATCGTCATTGTCGTCATTATGATAACCATTAAGAGAGAAAAATATAATTAAAGTTACATATTAGTTACCTCACGTAGAATGCATTCAATGTGGCCTAGAAAATCACATTCTTCACATGAATAAGCATGATGTCCAGTATACACCATTGTCTCGCAAACACCACAATACTCCAAAAAATCGTTGTCAATTGGGAGTAGTTTGCACACAAGAGGATGAATGTGATGTGATTTCTTGACCACATACTCAGGTATGTCAAGACACTCGAGATGAAAAATCAAGCCACATTCCATGCAGTAAAAGAAAGAGTCAAGAAATATGACACTACCTCTCATGCATATTTGACATGGATTTTCTTCGGTGAAATACCCGCGAGCATTGGTTCTATAAATCAATTTGTGCTGATGAGACTTGTGCATCAGACTTCGCAACACGGAATCCAAACACCTAAAATGAACATCAAAATCACATTCTTGGCAACCAAATGGGACACTAGCGATAGCTTTCCCGCATACATCACACCGAGACTTTCGTGTGTAATCAAGACGTTTGAGAGGGTGTGCGGGATGCACAGGATGTTGAATCTCCCGGGGAAGATCAATGCAACGCTCGTGAACAAATGAGTAACAATAAACGCAACCATAGCATATGGTAGATGGAGATAGAGAAAGCTCACACAAAAGGCAAAAGCCTTTAGCATCTGGTCCTGGTCTACACCTTCTAAGCAAGTGGCAATGACTATCGTGGAGCAATTTTTTGGCATCCCAGCTTCTGAAGATGTTCCCTTGGAGTGCACAATCAAGATCCAAATAGATCTCACAATCTTGACACTTATAGAAGGAGCAAGAAGACATGTTCCCACACCCGGAGCAGACGATGTGTCCCGGTTTCTGATCATATTGGTGTAGACAAAACTCCAGAGGATGATCGGGATGGAAATCGTGTGACACCATCTGCGGCAGTTCAAAGCAAGCTTTACAGAGATTGAAATTGCAAGGGCTACATGCCAACTCGACCATCTCATCTTTGAAGCAAATGCTGCAAATTCCGTCTGCGACCATCTTCGGCGAAGTCAACGGACATTCATGGGAGAAATGATGGAGCTCTGCCATCGCTGGGAGCACGGAAGTCAACGAGCGAAACACAAGATGAGATCTTACAAATATTGGGAGTAGTAATCACCAAGAAATAATAGGAGTCGTTCTGTTTTGAGTAAACAAATCTTATGAAATCATTGATGGGCTTATTATAACCCACATGATCTCACTAAGCCCATAAAGATAGAGTTTTAGATGGAAGAAAGCGGTAACCAATACATTGAGATACACTAAGTAAAACAATTCTCTGTGCCACTGGGTGAGAATTTTAATAGATACATCAACTAAATTAATCAATCTAAATATTCTAATTAATTTTAAATGTTGTGTCGAAAATCTCTACATATTTGTATTAATTTTTTAACATGACCTCAGACATACATATGTTACTAATTTAAATCAAATCAAAATATAACATTTTAATATTTCAACGTTATATAACATAATGTTTTAACGATATCATTTATCGAGATAAATATTAATTACTTTATAAAAATTGTATTTATGTCCATTTAGATACCAAATGTGATTGACCATAAAATTAATTTCTTTTATATCGTTTAATTGTATCCATATTACTCTAATTAAAATTGCGCTTTTGTTATAAACGTACAACTTTACAAATCTAACATTAATGGTTGAATTTCAAAAATAATAATTTTCAC